AGAAGCTCAGTGCAAAACAAAACAAACTGTCAATCTAATGCTACTAAAGCAACACAAATGGACATTAATGCTACTTTTAATGGGATATTTTTCACGTTGCCGTCAGCAGAAACGAGCCAGTTTGACAGTTTGCTCTCTCCACATGCAGATGCTAAAGAGGATTGCAGGGAACAAATAACAACAATCATCTTGTGAGGCACGTTGCTGCTCTGCGTTGAACAGTAATTCTGACGCCAAAGTTAGACGAAGAGTCCCGACGGAGAGAAAGAGCAGCTTGGTGTTTAGGAATGACAAAGTTAAGTGGATTTAATCGAGGACGGCTTAGTTGTTGTATCGCTGCAGAGCAGATAAACACTAAGCATCCTCCGTAAAACACTTGTAACCATGGTAACTGTACATCAAGATGGACACAGCCTCGAAGTGCTCAGAAGACGTACAAATTAAAAACGCAAAACTGAAATTAAAATGCCACTGAAAAAAAAAAAGGCTAAAATGTTGTTTTTGTTGACTAAAACTAATCTAAAAAAAAAACAAAAAACTAAATGATCAAACCACATAAGATTTCCATCAGAAGACGAAGTCAGCAGCAGATATAGATAACGAGCCTACAGTCACATGAACAGATCAGTGGAGCTGCCCTTTGCTCCAAACGTCCTCGTTACGGTTCGACCGATGTTGAGGTTGATATTGATTATTGGTGACTGAGAAAGGCCAATAACCAACCATATGGAACGGATGCACATCAAAATTGATTTATTGACAGCATGTGATAGCAGGAAACCCGTCCTTCATAACTGGGTTTGTTCATTAATGAGGATTACTATCACTGAATTTATACATATAAATATTAAATATAAACAGGATGCAAAAGCAGGAAACCTTTCATTCATAACTAGGCTCATGATAACATATATTAACATGTTAATAAGGATTACTGTGACATGTCAGTTAGAATAAACTGTTGAAGTTAACCAGATAGCCACAGGCTACGAGGCACCGCAAACCTCTTTGCACGTTGGCAAAATAAGCTGCAGCTGCACCACTTATTAACACCTACGAGTGAATTATTTCGGCCTTTTACTGTGTAACAGGCGCACTAGGAACGCTTCTGGATGATTGCTGTGTTTATTACAGATTCACCTGCTGCCTCCCCGTCCACACACGGTTCTGCTAATTCATTAGAGCTTCTTCGCTCAGTGCATGTAAATCAGTGGCTTTTGTAGTGATCGGCTGTTACTCATGGCATGTGAAAGCCAACCAGCTGGTGCTGTGGACGGGACGTTGCTGGTGACTGACACTAGAGAAGTGAATTCGTTCCAGGAGCCTGTTTGTTGTTTTTATGAATTTAAACTTAACTCAAGCAGGGGTTTTGATATTTATAGGTGTAAACTTTTCGATTACCGCTGGTAGCTGTTGAGATATTCCCGTTTGGGTCAAAGTGATTGGGCCAGTGATACATTCACCACAACCACCATCCAGAACCACCTTATACTGCAAAGTGTATTTGGTCACTGTGAAACTTTGATCTACCTGTACTCAGTAGCATCAGACTGGCTGCTACTAGATCACTGAACAAAACAAACTAAAGGTGTCGCTGGTGGCTCTCAGATGTCACACGTTCCTAACTGGGAGTGATGGTAATGACATAAAATAAGCTAGATAAATAAATAAGATACCCATTATTAAAATAGACAGAAATAGAGTCAAACATTTTTAAAACAGAATAAGAAATGATAAAAAATGATGGAATAAACAGTACAGTAAAAAAGACTAAAATATAATAAACACTCAATAAATAAAATAAATTAAAAAAAAATTTTAAATAAATAAAATCCATCAAATCAATTAAAAGCCTGACCTAAAAGGTAGGTCTTGAGTTTATAAATATTAAAACTACAAATATAAGCAGCATCACTGAGCCGCATTGTTTAATCATCACACAAGACTTTTGTAAACTGATAAACTACTTTTTTTTCTGTGAAGTATTTAATTTGCCAGATGAGCCAAGTCATTTTAACCACTCATTAGATGTTTCTAGACAATGTTTTGTATAAAGTGGTGGATTTTCTCCTCCCATAACGCCTTCCTGTGATACCACATACATCGAAACACAGCCGAGGCCTCGCTTACCTGCATCATCAGACTCGTTGAATTGTGAGTAGTTCACCACTTTCCTGTTCCTGTGAAGAAGCAGAGAAACAAGAGTCAGATTGTAATCATACGCGACGTACACTTGAGTTCAAGGGACAGGCTGCAAAGCTATTACACATCATGTCCAGCGATTCAACAGGCAGCGTCAGGTCAGCGGTGTATTATAGTCTGGAGTGGATTACTTGGTTTGAGAGGCCTCAAACTAGGCCTTCAACTAGGGGGCACTGAACTGGACACTGGTCTACCTTCTACAGTTTCCAGGGCTGATCTGGTACGTGTACGGGGGAAGCCTCAGGTGACAGCGGCGGACTATAGTTCAGGTAACACACACCTTTAGAAAGCCGTGTAGCTGAGCTGAGCGCTGGCTCAGGTTAAAACCAGGAGGAAAAAAAAAATCATGCATCGGCCTTCTTTTTCCAGGTATATCAAAGCAAACATTAAAACACAGCTTCAGTGACTGGGATGCAAACACCTGAGGGATTTATTAACAAAAAAAAATCTAATTTAAGCTGCATTTTAGCCCCAAATGAAGATTTTCTCCCAAATGAATTGAGTGCTTAAAAATCAATCAGCTGCTGGCATTGCATATTATTGAGCCACCTGGAAAATTAAATGGGCATCTGTGGTTTTTAAGCAGGTTAAACACCATGTCGGAGCGGTGCACGTGCAGGGGGTGCGAGGGGAGGCAAACAGCGCCATAAACTTTTACAAGTGCTTCGATTAACAACGGCAGGAACACCCACGCCGACACTCGCATCGATAAAAGCCTCAGACGGCAGCCAGCGACATGGCTGCCAAGCTTTCCACACATCACGTCTCGGGGATATCGCAGACAGCAGGATTCTGTTTTCCCCCCAAACCGGCTCGATCGTAGCAAGTCACCAAACCGATGCGTGGAATCGATACGCTCGGTAACTGTTGGGACGGATTCGCTGGCTGAGTTTCCAACTAGAGGACTTCTCAACTTAAAATGTTGGCGAGATCAGCCAAGACTCGCCAGACTCAGTTTATTTTGAAGCGCTTTTGTGAGTTTGCCATCTTCAAGTTCAGGGAAAACGAGACTGCAGCTAAGTTTTGTTTTGCAAAACGGCATGTTTCAGCGTTTCCCAATAATTTGTCCCCCCAGAGTCTTCCAATGAAGCAAATATATTTTTACATCTCACAAGTGGTTCCCACACACTAATTTGTTTGGCTAAACACTGACCACAGCGGATCGATTGTTTTTTGTGGAAAATGTCTGACTCGAGGGGGAAAAAAAAAACTCCTGCTGTAACATAAAGCTGCATCTCTCTCACCATCACCAACACATTGACAACAGCCTGCCCTCCTGTCCGTTCACACTCTGAATCAAAACATGCGTGTAAGGAAGGATCATTGTTGGCTTTTTTTTTCCCCTCCGCTGGCCAAATTCCTGAATAGAATCAATCCAGTTCAAACGTTTAGCATCATGAACATCTATATCCAAATTCAAGCATCTTGTCTTGAACGCAGCGCTCTGTGTCACCTGTCCAGATCCACCACTGTGAACCAACATAGGGAGACCTCTGGTTATAGACTGAGTGGCTTTAATCTAGATCATGCTAACTAGCCTTTACTGTCTGAGAAACATCGCAGCATGAACTGGGCTTTAAATTCCTTTTTCTGTAGCAGTCGATCACCTCCAACATCAGGCGACATGCTGGTCATGTTACTGAACACGCACAGCGAGAATAGTCACTCACGTATTGTTTTATAAGTAATCACATTCACTGAATAAGTCCTTAAAGCTCATTTCTATCCTCGTTTCACTCATTTGTTCCATGAGACTCAGTTTCATACTGATTCAAACAACACAACTTTTCCAAACATTTCCTCGTTACTGCCAGTCATGACACAACACATCTGAGCTTCTTCGTTTTTCTGACAGCACCATTTTGGGCTCTGACTAACTCGTGATCGGCATCTGCTTCATTGTTTTACTCAAGAGCGGCTCGTCTCACTCCGCCGATAATTACGTTCTACAGAAGAACAAGACGACAGCAGTTTGTCGGTAAGTCGCGACAACGGAGAACGAGCGGCGGAAACATGCTGCTCCGAGTCATAAAGTAACCGTGCACGTGGCTGACTGGCCAATTAGCAAATTACAGCGGCTGCAATTTAGGATGCGGTGCGTTA